CCATTTTAAGGATACAAATAAACAGCCACAGGAAGAGATGCACAGGGTGAGGTCTGGAAGGATCCTGACCTCAGGAGTTTCTGACCTGCTTGAGCCTAGGGTATACCACCCTCCAGGTGGATGAGTTCTCGAACACCTTCCTGTCAGCCTCCATGGTTCACTTCTCCAGAAGCCCTCTGCACCCTGTTCTTTGGGTCTTTAGTGGAGAATTCATTACGTGTCCATGATTGAAGGGTGGACAACTGTGTTGAAATATGATTGGACAAAAAGGACATAATCTACACCCAGCAAGGCCTGTCTGTTCAGATTCTTCCAGCCTCTCTGGGCAGCATTCCTTCCTCCAGTGTATGGGGCAGGATGCTTTGTGGAATGAGGGTCTTACAGCTCCTAATCAGATTAGAGCCCTGCCTTGAGCCAGGAAAAAGAGAGCCGGAGAAGGTCAGAGAGATTCTGTTTCCCAAGGCCAGCTTCTAAGATCCACAGTGCACAGCATATAATAAAATATTGTAACAAAGGTTATGGAAGTTAGAAGCTAGGGATTGTGGATGTGAACCAATAAGTGTATAATTATAATATCACATTGTGATATTGCTTTGGAAAGACATTTTATCTGTTGTAATAATTAACTTTTATTATTGGTGTTTTCCTCCAAGTTTCTCCCAGTTTTCCCCCTTTGTGACTTGTTTTGTGTCACACTCTAAAATTCCGCATGTTAATTATAAAATTATTCATTATAAGTTTATAGTTATCTGACAGCTTTTTCAAAATTGTTTCATCTGTGATGTGCTTTATACATATGTGATATTTATAGAATCTCATTTTCTTTTCATACATACAAACATCTGCCCTGTATTGGATAAGGCATTTGCTACTGAATTGAAATAATCAGTTTTCTTAAAAGTATTCATATATGTCGGGGTCCAGATTGTACATTGCTGTGCTAAAACTCTATTGTTTTAATTACTGTTTACTTATATTTGGGCAAATCTTTGATGGGAAGACTTAATCTTAGGCTTCAGATCCAACAGCCTGTGTTCAAATCTCGGTTCTGCCACTTCACAGCAAGCTTTGTGACCTTGCGCAGGTTAGTCACCCCACCTCCTCAGGGCTGGTTGACCCTGGTAGTACCAACCTCACAGGGGGTCATGAGCTGAATACAATACTCAGCATAAACTCTCCATCTTCGTTGGTTATCATTGTCATTTGGGTGGGTAATGCTGCTGCCGCTTGTTAATTGATACTTTCATGAACATTTCTTCCTCTGCTTCCCTGTCATTGCTTCCCTCAAAAAAATAAGTGGCCAATACAGATGAGAGCCTGATGTCTATGGTCTTGTCTCTGAGAGACAACCTGTGTTCAGGTGGAGCCTGTTCTCTCCTGCTCCCTAGTGTGTAAAAATCTCCTTTCTGCCTGTCTGTGGTGAACTCAGCAGAGGCTGACTTCCCTCTGCTGTAGGAAGTGTCCATTTCTCCATAGTTCTGCCAGGACCTGCGAAGGCCATCCATCCAGTTCAAGGGGGAAATACAAGGTGGAGAAAGCCCAGTGTCTCTAGGTCCAAATAGGGTTCTTTAAATCTTTCCTATTAACAAGAACATAACTGTATTATAATTCCCACCGACTCCTACGTATTTCTCTGATTTATGGTAATTATCCCCAAACACCTATAGCTGTTAGGCAGGAAAGAAATGTTTTTCATTTTTCTAACAAATATTTGCTAAAGGAAGAGGTAATCAACTTGGAGGGGCAAGTTAAATCATACCTAGAGACAAATTAGGCCCAAGGATAGATTTTGAATATTTTTATTAACATTTTTAAATTATGGGGCCAGGCACGGTGGCTTAAGCCTGTAATCCCAGCACTTTGGGAGGCCGAGGCGGGTGGATCACGAGGTCAACAGATCGAGACCATCCTGGTCAACATGGTGAAACCCCGTCTCTACTAAAAATACAAAAAATTAGCTCAGCATGGTGGCGCGTGCTTGTAATCCCAGCTACTCGGGAGGCTGAGGCAGGAGAATTGCCTGAACCCAGGAGGCGGAGGTTGCGGTGAGCCGAGATCGTGCCATTGCACTCCAGCCTGGGTAACAAGAACGAAACTCCATCTAAAAAAAAAAAAAAAGAGTTAAATTATGAGATTTTGTTTCCGTTTCCTGTATCATATTAGTCAAAGAAGCAGAAATGATGATGTGGTATGACAGGGACAGGCAAAAAGACGACTGCCGCTTTCTGTTTCTGACAACAGAAACATCAGTGGAGGGGGGATACATGGATTTATAACAGGATTATAAAGTTAATCGTCAACCTTTAAGCAAAACTTTGTAAAGAGCCCTGTTTCAGCTGGGCACGGTAGCTCATGCCTGTAATCTCAGTACGTTGAGAGGCCAAGGCGGCAAATCAGTTGAGGTTAAGAATTCGACACCAGCCTGGCCAACATGGTGAAACCCCATCTCTACTAAAAATTAGCTGGACATGGTGGCATGTGACTGTAATCCCAGCTACTTGGGAGGCTAAGGCAGGAGAATTGCTTGAGCCTGGGAGGTGGAGGTTGCAGTGAGCTGAAATTGCACCACTGTACTCCAGCCTGGGTGACAAAGCAAGAGTTTGTCTCAAAAAAAAAAGAAGCCCTGCTTCTGGTTCCAGGTTCCTAATAAATGGCCCTCAACCCAGCATCATAGTCTCTGTAGTACTTTATTGCTGTGTTACTCTAACAATAAAATACTGGCATCAGTGATTTTCCCTGCCTATAATATATAAAATACTCCTTAGGGAACTGAACTTAAGGTTTGGGCTGGAAGGGAAAATTTCTTCCCATTTCTATCTAGCTACTTTTCTAGTTTAAATTGTTTTTTTTTTTGGGGGGGGGGACGGATAGTGGGAAGAAACTGGAATTTCAAGAGATGGTTAGAAACCAAAACAAGTTACTAACCAGTTCCCTTGTTTAAATGTACGCAAAGGATATTTTCCAGGTTGCCTCATACTGTCCTTGTTACATGCTTCCTATCTTGATCAAGAGTCAGCCTTGGAAAAACACTGTTAGCCTGCAAGTTGACTTTTTAAAAGCGGTGTAATTTTGAATAGGTAATATATGGTACAATGCAAAAGCTGTGAAAAGGCATAAATCTGTTTCACCCTTCCCTGTTCTAGACACCCACTATCAAGGCATTGATACCAGTTTGTTGTGGCTGCTTCCAGAGATTTGCTACCTTTGATTTCATCTACAGTGATATTACCTGTGTATATAGAACTTAAAACTCACACATAGAAGTGGTAGTACTTAACAGTCCATCTTGGCTATCTTTAGTTTTCAGTTCCTTTCCTTCTTTTTTTTTTCTTTGGAGACGGAATTTTGCTTTTGTTGCCCAGGCTGGAGTGTGATGGCATGATCTTGTCTCACTGCAACCTCCACCTCCTAGGTTCAAGCGATTCTCCTGCCTCACCCTCCCAAGTAGCTGGGATTGCAGGCAGGCATGCACGACCATGCCCAGCTAATTTTTTTGTGTTTTTAGTAGAAGTGTGGTTTCACCATGTTGGCCAGGCTGGTCTTGAAATCCTGACTTCAGGTAATCCACCCACCTCGGCTCCCCAAAATGCCGTCATTACAGGCATGAGCCACCACACCCTGCTAGTTTTCAGTCTTAAACATTTCTGCCAAACTTCCCATTTGTTGCCTCCATGGAGATAGTCCCAGTTTATATTCTTGTCCACAGGTGATGTATGTGAGTGCCCTCAACCTCCCGCCACACAGCACCTTTTCCAACTCTCTTGAGTTTTGCCAGTCTGAGGAAAAAATAGTACCTTATAGTGGAACTTTCCATTTCTGTTACTTTTATGATAACATAAAATTGAAGTTAGGTACCTTCTCAAGATGAATTTAAAATATTTTTCCAGTTTTTCTCTTGATTTGGTTTATGTGTGTTTTGCCATGAAAACTGCTTAAAAATGTGTTTATGGCTTTTAGATTTTGTATCATTTAGCAAGGTCTTCCCTAGTTGAAGAGTATAAAAATTAAAAATATTCATGGTTTTAAATACATATTTAAAAAAGTCTTTGATTCATCTGGAATTGTAGAATAAGATTAGGAGGTATGCAGGTTTACTTTTGAGGCAAAAATATGTATAAAGTAACAATTTTCTATAGAAAACTTGGGTAAATACAGGAGGGAATGAAAGTGAACCCCAATCCCAGCACCTTATTATTTGTAACAATTGGGATCATGCTAATGCTGAATTCATTTTTTTTCACTTGAGATTAAAATACAAACATAGGTTTAGAATATATTTTAATTTATTTAATATTTAATTTTTGTGGGTACAGTAGGTGTATAGCTTTATGGGGTGTATGAGATGTTTTGATACAGGCATGCAGTGCAGGGCACAATAATCACATCATGGAAAATGGGGTATCCTCAAGCATTTATCCTTTGTGTTAGAAACACTCCGATTGTACTCTTTGAGTTATTTTTAAAGGTACAATTAAGTTATTGTGGACTCAAGTCACCCACTCCCTGTTGTGCTGTGAAATGCTAGGTTTTACTCATTTTTATTATTTTTTTTGAGCCCATTACCCCCACACTACCTTTCCTAGCCTCAGATAACCATCTTCTGCTCTCTATCTCTACAATAATTTTAAATGGGTGTCGACATTTTTGTTTTGAAACCATTCCAAACCGTCCTCCGCCCCCCTCTTTTTTTTTTTGAGACGGAGTTTCGCTCTTGTTACCCAGGCTGGAGTGCAATGGCGCGATCTCGGCTCACCGCAACCTCTGCCTCCTGGGTTCAGGCAATTCTCCTGCCTCAGCCTCCCGAGTAGCTGGGATTACAGGCACGCACCACCATGCCCAGCTAATTTTTTGTATTTTTAGTAGTGACGGGGTTTCACCATGTTGACCAGGATGGTCTCGATCTCTTGACCTAGTGATCCACCCGCCTCGGCCTCGCAAAGTGCTGGGATTACAGGCGTGAGCCACCGAGCCCGGCTTTTTTTTTTTTTTTTTTTTTTGGAGACAGAGTTTTGCTCTTGTTTACCCAGGCTGGAGTGCAATGGCGCGACCTTGGCTCACCGCAACCTCTGCCTCTTGGGTTCAGGCAATTCTCCTGCCTCAGCTTCCTGAGTAGCCGGGACTACAGGCAGGCGCCACCATGCCCAGCTAATTTTTTGTATTTTTTTTTTAGTAGAGACGGGGTTTCACTACGTTGACCAGGATGGTCTCGACCCTTGACCTCTTGATCCACCCTTCTTGACCTCGTGATCTATCCGCCACCCAAAGTCAAACCGTCCCTTTAAAGGAATGCATGACCAGAGGCTTGCGTTTAAATCTTGCACAATTAAAAGAAAAGCTTTTTCTCTGAGCCAGCTGATCTCAAGAAATCTTGCACGATTTTGAAGATGCCCGTTTTCCATCAGACCTGACCCTACGGGTGCACTTGGCGGGTCTTGGCTGAGCGAGGGTGGGGTGGACCAGGCTCCGGGAGGGCGCGCGGGGGGCCTGGCCTGGCCTGGCTGCAGCATCCCCTGGCGGCGGCAGTGGGAGTGCAGCGAGGGAGGCGCCAGGAGGCTCCTACCCAGTCTGGCGTCACCCTTGGGTTCGTCCCCGGCCTGGGGCGAGCCCTTCTTCTGCTCGAAGTCCTTTAATCGCTAAGGAGCTTTCCCAGACGCAGCCCTCGGCAGGCCTGCTGGCCTCTGATCCATGTCCCCTCTGCGGGGCGTTTGGGCACTGGAGGAGGCCTGGCGCCCACGGGCCTCCCGCATCCGCCTCTGAGGAAGGAAGGCGGGTGGTGGGGCGGGGGCGCTGTTCCTCCCCGCGCCCTCGTCGTCCACGGGGTTGTTTCCAGAAGTTGGGGACTTCCGGGGTTGCGCTGTTGCACTGGGGCCCGTGGGCCACCAAGGGGTGTCGCTGAGCCCGCTACCCTACCCGGCGCGGCCCTTTAAACTTTGTTTTTTAAACTTCGAGGGTGTGGTTGCAGCGCCTCCCATCTAGGCGGCTGGCTGTCCTTGCCTCTGCCCCGCCTTCCAGATGCTTTGGAGTCATGAGCCGGGAGGGCGCGGGGGCAGCTCTGGTGGCGGAGGTGATCAAAGGTGAGCCGCAAGGGCGGGTGCTTGGGGGCGGGCGTGGGGGGAGCTCCGGCACCCGCGCAGGGACCAGGCGGGCGGCATTCGCCGGGAGGCACCCGCCGTCAGGGCTAGGGCCGCGGCTGGTCTCCTCTGCGTGGGTGGCCTCGGCGCTCGTCCCCGGGCCCTGGGCTTCCGCGCTCGTGGGCGGCTGTGACCCTTGTGTGCCTGCACCTGAACCTACATACGTGAGCTGCACCTCCCCGCCCGCGGGAGCGAGATCTTTGGGCGCTGTCTCAGGGATCAAAGGTCCTTGTGGTTAGAAAGGATTAAGCCCTGTCACCCATTTGAGTGTTTGTGGTTGCGAGAAATTTTAGCTGAGGAGTTTACAAGGAATAAACTCAGAAGTTGCATGAGTTGAATTGCAGATAAAAAAAAGTTTACCATTTGGAGAGAGGGTGCCACCTGGCTCTGCTGAAAGTATATATATTTTAAAGGCTGTACTTGATTTTGCTACGTTGTAAGTACATACTAGCACCACTGGTATTATTATTATTAGGTATTGTGGATGACTTGATTTCACCCTAGGATTTTTAGGCAAGGAAGAAGGGTGGAGCCTCCTGACTCTTAGCTACTCATTACCATTCTTGCTAAACCTCACAGCAGCCTAACTGCGTTTATGCAACACGAGTTCATTTCAGACTCATCATGCAGAGACCTCTCATTGCTTCTGTTTTAATGGTAATTTGTCTAATTGTGAAAATACTGAAGTAGTGATTCCAAGTAAGACAGTAGTGATCCCAAAGAACAGTTGGAGAAACATATGGTTTGTTCTATAGCTGTAAGTAGTAATTTTTGAAGCAATTTTGAAAGCATTCTTTCTCTTTAAGAAAAAAATAGTTTCTTACCAAATTGACTTTTTAGGATGTCTTGAAAAATGTAGTGAAATTCTTCTAGAAACTTGCAAGGTTGATGCCAACCATCACATGCATGCTGCAATTTTCTGAAATGTCTTAATCCAGGGGAGCTGAACTTTAACGAATATAGGTTCGTTTAGAAATACATTACTACATGAAAAGCCACCACTTTTGAAACTTATGTTAAAGGCAGTTTCTCTTTTAAAAATGTGCTCATTATTACCCACCCAAATAGCCAGAATATTTTGTAATTACCCATTACCACCCCTACCATCTGAAACATGCATGGGAAAGAATGAAAAATTGACTTCATCTGAAAAGAGTTGTGTCATGATATATAAAACGTTTTTTATAACCTGCAGGAAGGAACATTGCAATTTTTCCATTTCAGATCGCCTTTGTTTTGCCATTCTCTACAGCAGACCAAAGAGTGCATCAAATGTACATTATTTCAGCATAGATAATGAACTTGAATATGAGAAGTAAGTATTGCTTTTTAAAAGAGTGTAACTTTTGTTTTTTAAAGAATCTAAAGGTATGGTTATAAATGGGACAGCCTGGGGAAATTATAAATTTGTTGATTGCTGATTACAGGATGCATGTTTTTCACCTGTGGTAATAAAATAAAGCTTTGGAGGAAAAAAGAGAACCTCCCTAAACGTAAACACTTAGATTTGCTTGTCTAAGGTTTATACTACAATGAGATATAAACGTGTACTAAGTAAGACATTGTGGTTTTGCTCTTGGAGATATGTATGGAAAAACAGCTTTTTAAATTTAGAAAGGATGTTCATCATCACTGAGGTTAGATTTAGGCATTATAGCACTCGTGGCATTTAAAAATAGGCGTTATTTACCAGAATAGTCTTCCGCTAGTGAAATAGTACATTTAAGTTGTATTGGCCCCTAACGATTTGGTATGTCCTTACTCATCTTAATTTGATCTTGTTGACCCAAAAAAGGTGTTTATATTTAGAGCATCTAGAATGTACATACACATTTTTATTTTTTATTTTTAAAGCTTCTACGCAGATTTTGGACCACTCAATCTGGCAATGGTTTACAGATATTGTTGCAAGATAAATAAGAAATTGAAGGTAAAGTTTTTAAGATTTGACTTAAATAATCATTATTCGCTTGATCTGGGGGACAAAAGTAAGGAAAACATCTATTTTTTAAAAAGGAAATGTCATGTTTTCACTGCAGTGGTGTTTGGGACATGCACATGGTTTTTTGTTTTATAAGATCATAGTGTATCTATTTGTTTTATAGAGTTTTGAAAGAACAGTTCAAGTTTGGGTCATTTGGTTCTAGTTTGAGTTAGTGATGCTTAAATACTTGAAAAACCAAAGTGGGAATCAGTTAATTAAGTGAACCCCATATTGTCTGACCTAATAGAACTGAGACCTAAGGAGAAATTCTTCCCTTGCTCTGGCCATTGTTCTTTCGGGCTTCATTTTGATGGGGAATGCTAGCAAACTAACAAAGAAGATGGGGCCATCTTACTTTCTCTCCTGTTTTGAAATTCCCATGATATTGTGCTACATGATCCTTTATACATATGATTAAGGGACATGAGAATCTAGGGCAAAAAGCACATCCTTAAGGCTGTATCACTGAGAGTTACACAGGTATATTTGTATTGGTTTGAACTTAGACCCCATTCATATATGTAAAACACTGAATTGTTGGTTATGCATGGTAGGAAGTGTGTACATACTACTTACCAGCAGTTCCAAATCAGTCATTGTAAATTTTCAACTAGAAAATACTGCTTTTTGGGAAGGGCACCTAAAAAAAAAAAAACAACTTGGCTTATCAGACTACTACAGATAGGAAATATAATTTATTTTTAATTGGAATTTTAACATGCTTTAATGAAACTTTTATGGGTAAAGCAGTTGTTTTTCCTGTAGCATCAAAGCTATATTCACTACATATCGCTACAGAGCAGGAGACTCTTCTTTTTTGCCTTTCTTAAATAGGAATATAACTATTTATGGCCTCGTGCATTTGGGTTCTCCCTCCTTTCTCCAGTTGCCAGTGGCAGATCTTTTGTTTCGTGCAGGCTAGGAAGCTAAAAATAATTCTCTCTTCCCCCGACATTTGTTCTTTTGCTTTAATTTTGGGGGAAAAAAAAAATTTTTTTTTTCCTGTACTCAGCCATCTGTGGACTTTTAGTCTTTGGGTCAACTAAAAATATATCAGTCCTTTTTTTTTTCTTTTCAAATCATTTACCAGAACAACTTGTAGCATGTTGGTAGCATGCTACCAACCTGATTAACTATCCAATCTGATTGACATATTACTGCATATTCAATTAATAGTGCTAAAGGTATATCAAGAGTTTGGATGGAGAATGTCTTGGGCTTGTGCTGCCTGGTGGCTCGTGTGTTTTTGTTTTTGTCGTCGTTTTTTTATATCAACTTGGATCTCTTTCTCCATGCAAACAACTAAAGGAAAATATGTACAACTTCGTCATTGAAACACTAGAACGTTGAAACACTGACTTAGAGAAGCCAAGAAATACATGCTTATTGAGCTGATTATATACTGTTCCTTATCCTGACCTGAACCTACATCTACTCATGTTAATAAAATACAGCTGGGGATGTGCTAACTAATCATGTTTTTTTTTTGTTTTTTTTTTTTTAAATTCTGTACCCATTTTATATTTTAACTTTTTAACATCCCCATACACACACACACACACACAAAACCCTTTTAAACATATATATAGAAATATGTACACATCATGGATCTGGAGCTCTGTGAACTTTCACAAGTGGAATATACGTAGATGATTATCTTTTCACCAGGTCGGGAGCAGTTCACTGGCAGCACCCATAGCAGCCTTCCGTGCTGTCTTCCAGTTCCTGGCTCTGCATACTCCTACCCTGGTTATTCACTGCCCTAGCTTATGACCCTGCAGACAATTCCATATACCTTTTAATTTTAATTTAAAGGTTTTGGGGACAGATTTCTTTAAAAACCAAACAGTAGGACAGGTGATCTCTTCGACCATGCTTGCTTTCCTCTTTCAGAGGCAGCCTGTGCTTTAAGCATATATCCATTCATGTCCCCTCCCCTCCCCTCCCCTCTAATTGTATGTCCGTTCTCACCCCAGAATGTGCCTTTTTATGGGAAGATATGTGGTATTTTGGGTATCAACATTAATCATTTCAACGGTCTTGCTAATAACATGATGGTTATACATTGTGGGATTTGAAATTCATCTTCATTACAAAATGAAATTGTAGAAGACTTGAAATTAAAAAGAAAATACTAACAGCTGATTATTTTTATGCAGTCCATTACAATGTTAAGGAAGAAAATTGTTCATTTTACCGGTTCTGATCAGAGAAAGCAAGCAAATGCTGCCTTCCTTGTTGGATGCTACATGGTAAGTATTTGTTTTCCTATTGTATGCATGAAAATGCACACAACAGTGGTTCTTTACATTTGCAGTTAGAATTTTGAAATCAAGAAAATGTGTTGATTTCTCCTCAGAAAGAACATGTTTTTTGCTTTTAAAAAATTGACCAACTCGAGGCTATGCATCTGTGGAAGGAGTGGGTAGATGAGAGATCTCCTGTACTTTCTACATAATTTCACTGTGAACCTAAAACTGCTCAGAAAATAAGTATTTTTTTTTTTTTTTAAGTGGCCAACTGCTTTGGGAAAGGTTTATGTTTTATGGCACTTAAAGTTGGAAAATAATGCTCCAAAGCTATTTCTATTCATTCATGATCCATTTAGTCAGTTGTAAAATCATCTTATTGGGGTCAGGACCCCAATAATAATTTTCTAAACAATTTTTTAAAAAATGAAGGCATGTCATTCGAGTGCTTTATAAAATTTGAATCTAGGCATTTTCCCCCTAATTAATGTCATATCCTTTCTCATGTAAATATCTAGCAGGAGGCCGTGGCATGTCAGTGTTGTTGGAAGATGGGTGGCATACTGCACGGATTACATACATGTGCCATTTGGATCATTGGAAACATGCTTTGGAATAGCAGTATTTACATATGAGTTGTGACTTTCATTTATTTGTAAATATGGTAGAAGAGATTTATTTTTTGAAGAGTCACATTTTATTTGGCACCCAGTGGATTCATCTGTCGGGGGCCTAAAAGCTGCAATTTTTCCAGAGCCAGCTTAGATGTCCTCCAGAGTAGGACCCCCACATGTGTGATGGTAAGAAAGCTGGCTACTCTGTTCTGTGGGGAGTAGCCAGGGGATATTTCTTCCACCCCTACCCCACCATCAGTGTAATAGTTACTTGCTCCTAGACTTGAAAAAAAGGGTTGTTTTGGAGCTCTTTAAGTTTTTTCTTCCCCACTTCTAGCTTGCTCCTTACTCTGGCATACCTTACTGGACCCTTTCAAAATTATTTTCTGGAGTATAGTTTGATAATCTGGAATTTACAAAGACTAGTCCAAAAGTTGGTGGTACTAGTTGAAATCGCACCTCAAGATGTAATAATTTTCTTTTTTATGTTTAGGGTCTATCATTAACAGCAGTGATTAAGGTCTTTTTTTTTTGGTTTCCTCTTTATGCTCTCAAAATAGTTGAATTAAACGTTTCTGATTGGGAGGCCTAGGTGGGTGGATCACTCGAGGTCAGAAGTACCAGACCAGTCTGGCCAACATGGTGAAAACCTGTCTCAATTTTTTTTTTTTTTGGAGACAGAGTTTCGCGCTTGTTACCCAGGCTGGAGTGCAATGGCGCAATCTCAGCTCACCGCAACCTCCGCCTCCTGGGTTCAGGCAATTCTCCTGCCTCAGCCTCCTGAGTAGCTGGGATTACAGGCACGCGCCACCATGCCCAGATAATTTTTTGTATATTTTTTAGTAGAGACGGGGTTTCACCATGTTGACCAGGATGGTCTCGATCTCTTGACCTTGTGATCCACCCGCCTCGGCCTCCCAAAGTGCTGGGATTACAGGCTTGAGCCACCGCGCCCAGCCACCCTGTCTCTGTTAAAAATACAAAAATTAATCGGGTGTGGTGGGACATGCTTGTAATCCCAGCTACTCTGGAAGCTGAGGCAGGAGAATCCCTTGAATCTGGGAGGTGGAAATTGCCCTGAGCTGAGATTATGCCACTGCACTCCAGCCGGGGTGACAGTGAGTTAGACTTTGTCTCCCAAAAAAAAAAAAAAAGTTTCTGAGAAAACTTTAAATTTTGTTATCATCTCTGAAAGTGTGAAACAGGTTATAGATTCTATTAAAATTTGGTTTCTTAAGCTTATGCAGATGTATCGGTGTTTTCCTTTGTCCCCACCTCTCTTGGTGTTTCTTGTGCTTACAGCAAAAGCCTTTAAAAATAAAAAAAATTTAAAAAAAGAAGAAAGTTTTCACAGAGATTGGGTTTCACCATCTTGCCAGGCATAGCAGCAGGTGCCTGTAATACCAGCTACTAGGGAGGCTGAGGCAGGAAACTCACTTGAACCTGGGCAGCATAGGTTGTGGTAAGCCGAGATTGTGCCACTGTACTCCAGCCTGGGCAACTCTGTCTCCAAAAAAAAAGGAAAGGAAAGGAAAAGTCTATGTATGGCTCCAAGAAAGAAAAGAGTATGGAAAAGTGGGTGTTTTAACTGGGACATTTGGCCAGTCACTGGGGAGAGAAACCTCATGGATTAAAGTAAATCGTGACAGCTTTATAAAAAAAAGAGATTCAGCCAGAATTCTTGAGATTCATAAAATATTAAAGGAACCCTGGAGAGTTGGCCCTTCCCAGCCTCTGGTGGCCCTTGTTCTACTCTTGGCCTCCATGAGATCAACTCACTTAGCTCCTACATGTGAGTGAGAACATATGGTATTTGTCTTTCAACTTTGGTTACATCTTTCTGCCATAGCAGGAAGATTTTCTGAAGATACATGATATTCATCTCTTCTATAGGTTAAATGTACTTTTGAAGACTAACTATTTCTAAAATCTTTTTTTGCATAAAATAAATGCCAAGCTCTTTGTGTGTAAAATAAATGATATAAGCAAACTTTGGGCACATAGCTTGCAACTTTGCTTTCCTCTAATGTTTAATAGATTACTTTGGTGGAGCTAATTGTAACATGTAGGTTCCCTGTATTGCTCTATGACAGAAAAAGTTTCAACCCTTTGCAGATCTTGCCATTACACTGCGCAAGACAAAGTCGGGAGTTCTATCCAGGATAGAGAACTCCTGAGTGGAACTACAAAGCAGAGGGACTGGGCTGGGCCACTTCTGGGTTAGTCATTGTCTCTGGTCAGATGACATGTCCCTGAGATGGTAGGGTCTTGAGGAGCCAGGCACAGTGAGTACGATGTGGAGAACCCCTCTGAAGGTGGCTGTGGGCATGGTGGGAACTCAGTCAGGGTTGTTTTAAAAACAGAAACAAAACATGTGATAAGTTTATAAATAAGAAATTGCCCTTTCGGTCCATGCTCACAGGGGAACAAGGTCGTGAAAAAAGGTTTTGCTGAGGTGCTGCCATTTCTTCTGTCCTCGGTCTCTGCTCCTTACGCAGAGCTTCCAGCGGCGCTATGTTGGGCCAGAGCATCCTGAGGTTCACAACCTCTGTGGTCCGTAGGAGCCACTATGAGGAGGGTCCTGGGAAGAATTTGCCATTTTCAGTGGAAAACAAGTGGCGGTTACTAGCCATGATGTGTTTGTACTTTGGATCTGCATTTGCTACACCCTTCTTAATATTAAGACACCAACTGCTTAAAAAATAAGGATGTTTCAGCTCATCCATTTAACAGATATGAAGAGCATTTTAAGAGGTGCAGTCTCTGGAAAATGGATCAAACTCACATGGCATGCTAGATATGTGTGTAAATAAACTTATGACAGGAATGCTTAATGCCTCTTTTCTGAAATAGGGAATGTAATAATTGACCATTTGCCTACTTTATTATTTGAGTAATATTCAAGTATTACTCTTTGTGATTTAGATTATTTAATGGTGTTAAACTGAGTGTTATATTAAGGGAAATACAAATTGATCTTAGGTTTTCCTGTGTTTTTTTTTTGTTGTTGTTGTTGTTATTAACTTGAAGGAAAGAATACTTTTGCTCTTGCTCTTTACTTTGATATGGCAAAAATTTTTTTCGCTGTGATTAATCATTAGGAAAACTATTAGTTTATTCAAATTGAAGTTCTGGTTAATCAGATATTTAGGAGCTTCATTTTTATTTTCTTCTAGACCTGTAACCTAAAACAGAAATGTTTGCCCCACTAAGTGTTCTGGTGACCACTATTAGTCTTATTTAGGGTGAATAAAAGACTATTTGAAATGGGAGGAAAAAAAAAAAAAAGGAAATAGCTCTTTTTATTATTTATTTATTTATTTATTTATTTTGTGGTGGAGTTTCGCTCTTGTTACCCAGGCTGGAGTGCAATGGCACGATCTTGGCTCACCGCAACCTCCACCTCCTGGGTTCAGGCAATTCTCCTGCCTCAGCCTCCTGAGTAGCTGGGATTACAGGCACGTGCCACTGTGCCCAGCTAATTTTTTGTATTTTTAGTAGAGACGGGGTTTCACCATCTTGACTAGGATGGTCTCGATCTCTTGACCTCGTGATCCACCCACCTCGGCCTCCCAAAGTGCTGGGATTATAGGCGTGAGCCACCGCGCCCGGCAGAAATTGCTCTTTTTGTCTTGTTGCTGTTGTTTTTTAATTACTAGTGAACAAACAACAACCTGTTGACATATTTATTGAAAATTTTTTAGCATATTTGTTTCCAGTTTTAGGTTGTCCTTTTTTGACTTTGTTTATGGTCATATTTTGGCCAAGAGATTGTGGTTAATATGCCTTAGATTTAGAAATCCTTCCAGGATTTCACACCCTCAGGTGAGTATTGATTTGATTGGTTAGGGAAGTGCCAGGTAAGCAAATTTGGATCTTCACTCGCATTTATTACTCTACCCAGTGAGGAGCTAGCTTGGCAGAAGGATTATAGCTCTTGGCTGTGACAGAAGCCTTTGCAGCCATAGCTGGCTGCTAAAATAGGAATTTGGAGCTGTAATCTTGATAGGCAGAAAAGCAGAAGAAAAACTTCTAAGAAAAGGAAATGTATTAATAGTAGAAAAGCAGTGTCAAGATATAATAAGGATACCTCAAAAGAAAAAACATCAAAGTAAGTGAAGCTTTAATCTGGTTAAAATACGTTAAATCCTCTGGTTAAAGATTGGTAGAGATGAGCGATAGTTCCCTGTAAATTGGTCTGCATCCTTGATAACCTTTTCTGGAGTTGTCTGGAAATTTGGAGCTAGTCAGGCTCTTTAGTGTTCGACTTGGCATGATAATGTTAAAACAAAACCAAAAAAATCTGGAGAAAGAATCCTTAGGAAGGAAATATTCCAAATAGACTGACTCTGTTTATTTTTATCAGTCCCTTTTAAATTCAGGGCTTCT